CCAACCCCGACACGTACCAAGGTAAGGAGAAGTGATTAATAGTATATGATAATAGAAAATGTGTGGATTTTCTGATTATGTATATGATTGTGTATGACTTGCCCTATGTGGTATTGTGTATGACTTGCCCTGCGTGGTATTGTGTATGACTTGCCCTACGTGGTATTTTGTTTGACTTGCCCTACGTGGTATTGTGTATGACTTGCCCTACGTGGTATTGTGTTTGACTTGCCCTACGTGGTATTGTGTATGACTTGCCCTACGTGGTATTGTGTATGACTTGCCCTACGTGGTATTGTGTATGACATGCCCTACGTGGTATTGTGTATGACATGCCCTACGTGGTATTGTATATGACTTGCCCTATGTGGTAATGGAAAGGTAAACGTACAAGTGGAAAGTAATGATATGAAATGGTATGGATGAATGAGGTGGCAAGGTATGGTAGAGATGAACAGGTAGATCCAAAGTGTAGAATGAAGTAATATGAGACGTACAAATACGATATGTTGATTTTATCTTTCAATGTCAAGTATTTTATTAAAACCTTAAAAGTGTGGATTATCGCTTACTGATATTTATTGAATTAATAACTTACTCCTATGTTTGTTGTGTATATCTGTCATGATAATCTCATTGCAGGTAAACGGGATAGTTGATGATATTCGGTTCGAGGCATTAGGAGCTTAGAACTCGGAATCCTTATTTTGCTTTTTGTTTGATGTAAACTGTTAATTGGATGATTGTAAATCCTAACTGATTTAGTGCTACATTTTTTGTAATGCTGGATATTAATAGCTATGGGCATTTTGGAATCCCATAGCTAGTCATATGCAGTACTTACCGATAAGGAAATCCATGAATTATGTTTTTCTGCCTTATGGGAAAGGGTCCTAGTATAATACGATAACTGAATTTTTAAGTATTGAATATTGTTTAACTAAAGTGGAGTAGAGATGATAAGAATAACTAGATTAAAATAAGAAAAAATTTCAATGGTAGAATTTGGGTCCTTACACTTACAAGGTGATCTTATAGGCCAATTAAGATTTAAGATCGACTGCATGTTTGAGAACTCAGTTGTCAACAAAAATGATTTCATTATGCAATCAAAATGACATTCAGCTGGAGGAGAAAGAGAAAAGGGAAAAAGAATTGAGAGCAAAGATTATCCAGGAAGTTGAGGAGTATAAGGTGACTTTTTATGACAAAAGGACGCTTAATGTTGATACTAACAAAGTTCAAAACAGAGAAAGGGAGAAGGTAAGGTTTAAACGCAATATTTTTTCACAACATATTCTATGTGCTCTATTACTTTTGGAAAGAAACAGCACCTAAAGCAAATGGATCTGCATTAGAAGGCGCCCCCGAATCGCAACCAAAGGATGCAGCCAATAACAACACTGGAGATGTACCCCAGAAAGAAGTTCCTGCAACTGAGGAGTACCTGAGGATATTATTATGTTTAGCATGAGAAATATTATGTTCTTGCTATTTGTGATGCTTATGCTTTCTCTCCCTGTATTTAAGATTCCCCTTTAACTTGACTTGATCAGCAAATATGGAGAAATATTATGTTCTTAACGTGTAGAATCTTATCGTTGGTATGAAGAATAAAGCTCTCAAGCATCGCTTAAAAAGTTTAGCACAAGACATTTCCAGCACATGCATTCTTCATGTCCATGAAGTTTACTCAAAACTGTGCTGAAGCTAAAGAAGTTGGTCATATGCATGTCACACAACTCTTGGAAGGATCATGAGAATGTCAAAACCATGAAACTCTAAAGTGTATTAGGAATAGTTTCATATTGTAATTTTATTTAGAGTGATGTATTAGGAATATAACAAAAGTGTATTAGGAATTGATCATGTACAAATTGATGTTTTATTAACATTGTTGATCATATGTTGTGTTGTGTTCTATGCCTTATCATATTGATCAACAAATTCATTTAGCGGAGTAGTACTATGCACAAAGCCATCAAAAAAAGCATTTATGCTTTCACTTCTTTGACTTGATTTCATCCCTAAGACAATTAAAATAACAATACATGTAAATATCATAATTATAACTGTAATAATATAGTGTTAAGCTTGAATAAACAATACACGATATATTCAAAATAAGTACATGCAAAGAAAGTGTCTCACAAATAAGCTTTTACCCAATGATGCCTTTTTTCATACATATCTTCCAGCCACTTCCAAGCTTTCATTATATTTCTTTGTCTCTCACTCAAAATACCAACAAAAGAAGGCTTTTTTCCTTTTAATGTATTCCACCATTGTTCTGATTCTTCAATTGATTTACTTTCTTTAGTCCATCTTGTATAAAGTTCATCGAACTCGGGTATGGAATGAAGAGATCGAATGTGTTCGTCCTCATGAAGAGATAAATGGCAACTAAAATAACGATGGTGAGCATGCAGGAAAACTCTCTTAATTGCATTACCAATTGCAACATTTTGGTCAGTTATAATTGCATATGTGGCTTTATCCTACATACACCTCAACCATTGTTTAAATAACCAAGCAAATGTTTATTCTCTTTCATCCGCTAGTAGAGCACAACCAAACAATGTAGATTGCCTATGATGATTTACACCGGTAAATGGTACAAACGACATCGAAAAGCTATTGGTTTTGTATGTGACATCAAAAACTAGAACATCACTAAATTTTAGGTATGCATTTCTTGCTCTACCATCAGCCGAAAATATACACGACAAACATTTTCCTCATCAATCTCAAAGGCATAAAAAAATTGAGAGTCTAATGCTTGTCTTTCCAAGAATTTGTTAAGAACAACCATACATTCTTTGCCAATATTATTTTTCCTATCTACTCTCAATTGTCCAACTACTTGATTTGGTGTCACCATGATTGATTCGTTAGTCATGACATTAACAAGACGTGAAATTTGTGCCGGACCTAATCCACAACCATTAATGTTTTCTACAAAACTCTTAATACAAGAGTTCTTATGTGCCTTGTTGTGAGAACGTAGTTGACATTTTTTAGTTGGACTTATAATCAATTCATGGTTATGTGTATTGGAAAACTTATTCACTGCCCAATTTCCTTCTTTTGTCTTTTCAATGTGCATATGAGCCTTGCAACCTTCTCTTTCATCTCGACGACGTTTTACTTCTTTTCGTAGCAATCTCTTATCTAGCCTTTTAAATCCTTCTTTATTGCAAACAAAGTGATACTTTATGACTAATTCAATAGTCCTTGCTTTATAATTCCAATTCTTCCGAATCGAGAAACCTTCTTTAAATGCAAATGAATTATAAAAATCATAAGCTAGTTTATCAGTTGTAAATGTCATAACAATGTATGGGGCTTCATTCTTTTCAAAATTTGCTTGAACTCGGGATTGTACTTGTTCATCTATCTCTTCCATTATCTGCATTTGATCATCTTGAGAAATAATATCTTCATTGGTATTATTTATAATTAATTATCTTTTTATATACATTATCCTCTAATAATATTTAATAGCTCCAGCCCAATTATATTCTTGTTTTCACTTTTTAGTTTATGATAACTTTATCTTTCTGGACAATTCTCTTTCCCTAAGGATAATTATAATAATAATTATTATTATAACGTCATATACTACTTACCTTGACTCCTTTTTATAAGGCATTAATTGGAAGTTTTTTAATTTTTATAAATTAATTTTCAATTCATTTGAAACATTTATTATTTTTTCTATACCACATTTATTTTTTAATTATTTATACTTTTGTGCTTTGCTAAGGAACCCAAAAAACGTAATTTTTTAAATATTAAGAAAAGATCTATTTTAAAGAATAAGGGTACTTTTTTTATATAGATTTCCGATCTTGACTTTACAATTTTAGTTCCTTAACCTTTAGGGCAATGTTTAGAAAATTCAAATTATACAATTTTAATTACTTTTAGAAAGAAAAAAAATAGTATATGAGACGATAAGATTTTATATTATCATTTTATCATTCAATTTTTCTAGTGTGAGTATAAAGATTTATACACAGTCAGTACATCATCCATCATTTATTTGTAATATTTTTTTGTCGCGCCCGGATTTTCGGCCACGCGACCTCTTTAGGAGTCGCCACCACGTCTTTTGCGGTTAAGAGTTTTGAGTTCGGGAGTCGATTACGGATCGGGGAAGATATTAGCACCCTGTCCGCCCGTAATTAAAAGGTACCCTAACTAATTGCATGAATTAAATACCCTTAATTTATTTAAAACTAAATTTGTTTAAAACAAAATATTTATTTTTTATTTTTGTGTCTGACAAGAGTTTATCTTGCTCTTATGTATCCCTAGGTGTAATAGGGAAATCAAGACTATGTAGTTCTGGTTGAAAATCGTTTGTGAACTGTTTGTTGGTTCGATTAGAAATTTGTTTACTTAAAAGTCATTTACTTTTGTTTGAAGTTACTCGAAATGGAATTAATAGACGACGAGTCAACATTGATTGCTTACCCTCTCATCACTTCGATAAATAGAAGAAGCAGTACAAGTGACTGCGACCGGTTCTCGGCTCGAAGCGAGGAGAAAGATGCAATACGAGTTGTAACTTCGCTATTGAATCCCAAACATCATTAAAACATTTTTAGATAATTATTAAAGCATTTTTTTATTTAATAGCTTAAAGATTTTTTAAAGAGAAAATTAAATAGTGAAGAGTCGACATTGATCGTTAACCATCTTCTCACTTCGATAAATAGCAGAAGCAGTACAAGTGACCATAACCGGTTCTCGGGCTTGAAGTAAGAAGTAAGATACGACACGAATCGTAACCTCACTAAAAAATTCCATTTAAAATTGATTTAAGTAAAAAAGATAATTTAAATTCATTTAGGTAATAATATAATTTTTAATTAGGTTTTGGAATAATGAGTAAAGATAATGCATATCTAATACATATATCACTTAGGAAATTATATACCATATATATAAGAATACACAAAGGGGTTATATTTAAAAAAAAGAAATAAAGAAAAGGATGGAATAATTTTGAGAGGGGTAACCTAATTTTACCCCCATTTTACGATTAGCCCCAAAGAAAAAGGGGAGAGAACCCCTAATCCTTTTCTTCCTCTTTTCTCCCATTCAATTGACGACGATAACCATTTCTAGTGACGAAAGGCGGTGGCGGCGGCGGCGGCGGCGGCGAGACATAGGGACATGCATTCAGTGTAGTTGGAGAAACCGAAGGAGATACTCTCCACTCCTCCTTGGCTCGAGTCAAATGGGAACAAAATAACCCCGGTTTGCGAAGCAAAAAGGCAAAGGACGTCGAGTTCTCACCGATATAGCGGCGATGATGGTAAGATTATCGGAGCGGGTTTATTTCCAGAATACTATGAATATAGGCAAGTGATGGTTTTGTTTTAGAGATAAAAGTTGTGTTTCTTGATTCAGTTTACTGATTATTATTATACCTTGCCTTTGTTTAGTCATGAAAGAGATGCTTGTGATTATAATTGATAGATTCCAAGTATGAGTAAATAATAGCGACACAACCTTGTTTGAGACTGTTTGTGGTTGTTATGTGAAAGACGTAGTAACTCAAATAGTGAGAAAACATGTATACGATTGTAGTTTCAGATTGAATACCTTTAACATTGCTGAACATAATGTTACATGGGGATTATTATGAGTATAGTAGAATGCTAACCTGAATTACCTGTTTACTGTAATAGTCCTGCATCACTAACCAAATGTAACAGATTGCTAATGCTCGGCTTGCTGCTGGTTCTTTTCCTCTTCTGTAAGTGTTGTGCTTTGTGATGATCTCTTGCTAAGGGTGTTGTATGTGAATGTATAGCTTCTGGTTTATTTGATGAGGGATGAATTGTATGTATCAGTGTGTGTATTGCTTGTATGATATGTGGGATATATGTTATACTACTTTCTGTTTGATGTCTGTAGTGTGTGAGGAAGTTTACGCTTTTTGTGTGTATGTGTTTGGGTATTTTTTCTAGATGAGTTGCTCTATGATTGATGTGTAGTGTAGGAGTGTATGAGTATATGAGTATATGGCTTGCTCTCTATTCTGCTGTGTGTGGTATATGGGATGCTATATGTGGTATGCCTTCTCAGTGTTGTGTGTGATACTTGGGTTATCTCCTCCTCTGATTTTGACTACTTTCTGTTTTAGCACGTATGTAAGATACCAAGGTAGATAGTTGAGGTTTGTGTGTGTATAATCATCAGCCTCTGTTCCCGGACTTTGAATACCAGCTCTGGTTTATGCCTGCTTTTGCTTCTGCTTCTAAAATCCCCTCTTGATTGCTCTGATTGCTGTGTGATTTCCTCTATTTTGATATGTGATGGATAGTGAGGACTATGTACACCGTTTGTATGATAAGTAGTCTGTGTGATATACTGCACAAAATGTTGTGTATATGTAGGTCTACGTCTCTGGACATTTTATGTGTATGTTTCAGAGTGTGAAACCATTAATAAGTTGAGGGCTAAAAGATAGATAATGGAAGCGCATATACAGGATGATTGAATGAGTAAGCTGAGGTGCTTTTTTTTGTAGTGGTTATGCTATAGAAAGGGTGATGGTTGAGTTATAGGTGGTGATTGAGAGATAACGAGGTTGAGTCGTTGAGATGGTGGATAAGAGAAAGATGATGGTGTGTATGGCTTCTGGTTTGCTATGTGTGTATATGTAATACCCTCCCCCTTTTTGTGCATTGTTTACTTCCTTTTATAGCTGAGTGTGGGTTTGTGAAAGTCTCTTGGACTTGCAGAATGCAATGCTGAACGTATATGCCTCCCTATTTTCTCCTGGTTATTCTTTAAGATTGCCATTAATGAGACTAATATGCCACTTTTCAACGGTTCAAGCAGCTGGTTGTAAATGTGGAATAGTAGGATAAGTTGACGTACAAGGTAGTCCTTTTTGGAGTAGACATGCAGAAATTGAAGAGCTGCTGGAAGTCCATACTATGATGAAGGAATGAGATGCAATAAATCTACCACTAATAAATTTGGAAAGTAACAGCCTTTAAAACTTTTGCCTAACATGCACCCCAACAGTTTCAAAAAACAGCAGACATGACTCAGGAATTAACTCCAATGCAACGTTAACCATTTGAAACTTCTAGGACCTTGATTCTTCTTGGATTGGAGGAGGACGTGTTACAATTTTGTTCCAATTATTTCATTTGTGTAATGGTATATGTATCATGGTGGAGTTTTCTACTATTACCATACTTTTATTCATCAATCCCATTGATTTGTGCTACTTAAAGTAAACTGGGGGTTTTGGAAATTGGGGATGTCAAAGACGAATTCCCCATGTTCAGGTTTTTAATAAGGAAGAAAGATGGCCAAGGATCATATGCAAAATAATATTGTATGGAATGCAAATCCTCAATCAATTTTCTCTTTTAAATTTTTGTAACCGTACACAAAAATTAGTAAATGAATAATTAATAAATTATTGAATAGAAATGGTATGCCAGTTTTTTTGGTTAAGAATTAAAAAGAGATACACTACATATATTAAAATGGCATTTTTCAAGTTTTTGTTATTTTGAATTTTTGTTGATTTTATAAAATAGGCGGACAAAATTGAGTGTTCACATTTTTTAAAGTCAATAATAATTAAATATGAATATTAGGTGATGCAGTGACTGTTGTTTAGTGTTTTGGACTTTATTGAACTATTATTCCTAAAATGAGTTAATTTTGAGATTATTTAGCCTAATTAAATTTAATTCCATTTTAAGGTTATATTTGGCACCAAAGACATTTTGGGCATTACAAGTGGAGAATGTGTGCTAAAGTGAAGATTGTATATTCTATTAGGATTTTTTATTCTGTTTGGGTTATGGGCCCATTGTTTAGGGCCCATTTCCGTTTTACTCCATTTAAAACATGAAATTTCGGTTTTGATGACACACTTTTAACATTACACATTTTTTACATTGCTTTAGAATACACATTCCCGTTTTCCATCTTTGTGCTCTGCTAGGGTTTAGTTTATTTTCGTTTTCCATCTTCTCCATTTCGTTTTGCTTAAGCCCTACATGGAAAGCTAAATTTTTGGAGTAAACTCTTTTGGTAATGTATCACAACTCTTGAGATTTGGTTATTAATGCAATTTTGGTTTCTTATTTGTTGATTTCTTCTATTCAATTTTTTGTTGTGATTTTCTTAATTCCATGCTTTAGAAAGAGATTTGTGAACTGAATTTCGTTTAGTCAATCATTTCTTTAGGCATGAATGCTTAGTTTGTGTGAATTTGCTTGTGAGTTGATAAAGACTTAGTTAGTTGATTCTCAACAAATTAGGAATTCAATGATTGAAATCTGATTGTGATATTGTGAAATCGAAGATTGAGTTGTGATTAAGGAAACCAAATGGTTTAGCCGTTTCACTTTTCTGTTAATTATTGTTTCTGTTTTATTTTATTCTCTACATTCATAACAACAACAACCCCTTGTGTGTGAGTACAAGGTATTTGAACTATTGCCTGAAAGATAATCCTTAGGAAATGACCTAGGTCACTTCCTAGTACTACATTTTAATTGTTATATTATTCTAATGATATATGTTGTTCGCCTTATTTGTGTTGGTTAACAAGGACTTTATCTTCATCTCGAGGGGGTAAATAGATGGTAAAAATTAAGATTGAACTTGATCCAAAATGACATAGATATTCCAAAACGGTATTGGTTTTAGTCGATTAAAATACAAGTTAATCAATTAACACATAGCAAATATAATGAATTATATGAAAATTTAATCAATTAAAACAGTACAAATTAATCGATTATATGCAGACTTAATCGATTAAACAAATAGTTTTCTCAAAAATCTTTTGGTTCCTAATTATTTCAATGCAACAAGATAACAGAGATTATACAATACCTAATATGCTCTTAATGTTGAAATCAGAGTGCAATTAACAAAGCAAGTTTACTTATGCAAATGATCACTTGAAGAATGATATCAATCAATGTAATAAAGTGATAAAATGCGAGTAAGTAAAGAGTAGGGTTAAGAGAAGAAAACAAACCCAATTGTATCTTGGTTCATTTGCTTGTCCACGTGCAAACTGCATCCATACATTTCCTTCTGATCTTGGGATATTTGTTTCACTAGAATAAATCAAATGTTTGATACAAACATTTCTTCACCAAGACTTCTCTTAGACCTAGCTTCTATTGACTCCCTGTCACTATTATGTAGCCGATGATTTCTCCCAAAATTTTCTCCTTTATCGTAGGTGATACCTCACAGCCCGAAGTGATAAATCCAAAAATAACGATCGTAAAGTATGTGTACAACTTTCAATGCACCTTGGATGTGCTAAAACATAGACTAACAATTCTGCATACAACCTTTTGATGAATCTCACATACAGATATGAAAAATGAATGAATGAGATTCACAAAAGGAAATTTTTGAAAACCGTCAAGATATGAAAATTCACTCTTTTCAAAGATACTCAAAAAAATTTCTCTTTTCTCATGAAAGGTTTTTCTCTTCTCTCTATCAAACACTCTTGCTTTCTGAGTTCTTAGTTTCGTTCTTGAAAGATATGGTTTTCTTGTTTCTAATTCAGTTCTTCTTTTCATATTGAAAATTGTGAAATACCATTATGTTTTGAAATTGTTCTATTGAGGATAATCGATTAAAATGCTCACTTAATCGATTAATGTTTCTTTAAAAACGTATAAGATTCCAAAATAGAAAACTGATTTAATCGATTAACTAAATACTTAATTGATTAACGTATTTCCCATTTACAAAGAGTTTTCTAAAAAAAAAGACTTAGTTGATAATGCATGAACCTCTTAATATGTATGATGTATGCATGATGTATGACTTTGAAAAGTATTTAAGTATAAGCGCCCAAAATCATGTATGCATGCTAAAATCATGTATGCATGCTAAAATATATTTTAATCATGTTATGTATGAAAAATCTCTTTTATGCAACATGCTCATATTATGCGAGATTTATCAAAGGTTCACTCATCCTAGACTCTACCCAAACAAAACATCTTAAAGACATAAAAAAGAAAATAATTACTCTTAGTCTTCATGATTCTTGCTTGAATGTGAGATTTTTTTATGTTGTTGTGAAGTATCCATTGTTTTTAAGTTTTAATTTTTTGTTTTCATCAAAACTATGATCTTGTATGCTTGCATTCACAATTTAGATCACTCCAGCTCCATATTCAACCTACTCTAGTGCAAAAGGTCATGGAAGCTAAAAAATGAAGAATTAAGCACTTTTTTTTTTTATTAAAATCCAAAATAAGTGTAAGAGATCAGAACTCAACTAATTTATCCAAATAATGCATAAAATTAATCTAATCATAGTTATCATATCATAATTATTTTGTATCAATTATTCATTGATCTCTCGCCTATCAAACCAATAATGTACCTACTCGTGAATCCTACAATTATGGCTCTCATATAGGGAAATGGATTATCTGTTATACTGGACCATCCAGTACAAGTAGAGATGATAACATTTGTCATTTAAAATTTTTTATCGGTCCAAATTTAAATTATTTTAAATTAAAGTAAATTTTTAATTTTTCAATCCAGTACTAAAGATAATCTCAACCTCTTCTATAGACCTAAACAGAAATTCATGTCATCCCTCATATACAAACCCTCCTGCTCACCAACCATATAATCAAACACGTCTTGCAATCACTAAAACTCAAGCCCTTCCAAATTCTCTAACTATCACAACCCTCAGCAAAATTACCAAATACCTCACTTCAAAACCTACACTCATTCTCATTATTAGTTGTCTCCAATGTTGACCTATTTCAATAATTATTGGAACTATGCTTGATTGCTTCATAACTTGTTTGGAACATTAAGTCAAATTTCCCCTTGGTATAATGCAAACTTGACCTGCAAATACCACATGGATGTACTAGGACACTCTATCGAGGAATGCGAACAACTTAAATTAGAAGTAAGAAAGTTTATGGCTTCTGGAAAACTTGATTTTGAAGATGAAGTTAGGCCCATTATTGGTAAGAATCTAATCCCCAACCATAACCCTGGAAAAATGGTGAATTCTAAAATTGTAGTGAAACCATTGGTCAAGAGGGTGTTAGAACTGCATGTGCCAATGCAACATCTATTTGATAGCCTAAAAAAAGGAGTTTGGCTTAATTACATATTCAGGATTTTATGACACATGTCAAAAATAAAATTTAAATGGTTTAGATTTTATACTTTTTTTAAATTAATTTTTTTTTATAAAAACACCCCCTCTCACATTCCTAGTATCGGAGAAAAATCTTTTCCTTAAAGAAGGTAGAGTTCAATATTTTTGTGCCAAAAACGATAAGCAAAGATGAAGAGATGTATGAATTGGACTCCCGTTTTGATTACAACTATGGAAGGGTTGAACATGACATTAAGAACTATTGGGATTACAAGGTCAGGGTACAGGTTTTGCTTATTCTAGGAATCATACCCAACTAAACATTTTTTGACTTTCAAGAAATTAATCTAACTGAAAAGGTTAGCCTAAGGTTTCGCTCCTTAAAGACCCAAATCCTCAAAAAAGTGACTCGAGAGTTAATAAGCCTAAACATTTTGCATATTAGAATACTCATGATTCCATGGATTTATGATGTTAAAGTGGAAGCTGTGAGAGAGACTCATGAAACTCAAGTGTTCATTGTGGTCAACTGGTCATGGCTAGAGGGATTACTAGAAACATGAGATGTTATGTCCATTCTAAGGGTGAAGCCAAGAGGGGTAGCAAAATTACTAATGAGAAGAGTAGTATGTGCAAAGAGATTATGTAGAATATGGAGAGGAAGAATTTATGCAGATCATGAGATAAAGTGAATATGATGTGGTTGAACTACTCAGAAAGACTCATTCAAGATCTCTTCGTTCCGAATTGAACCAAAAGGCATTGCTAAGGTTACTTGATGAAGCTTATATTAATCATGATGTTACAAATGAAAGAATGACATGGTTGACCCTGTGAGGCATGTCAATATGATAACCTTCTTCAAGGATGAAGTTGGAAAGTAGATAAAAAAGGTTCCTTATGCTTTACATATCATAGCCAAATGCCGTGGTCACGTTGTGGACAATATTTTGATTGGTAGGGGGTCAGCTCTGAATATTATATCGCAATCTACTTTTGCATCCATCGAACCAGTAGAGATGAAGTAGTTCCACGACAAATGATTGTTCATGCCTTTGATGGGAATCGAAGAAGTATTTTGGGTTAGATAATGGTTGCAATTGGAAATTGATTCTTCGCGACAATTGGTTTCATTGAGTTTGATGAGGTGGAGGAGGATGTTGCAGAATTTGCGAGGTTGTTTCGAGA